TGTTGCGCTTTAAATTGCACCGAGTCTAGAAATGTTTCATATAAACTCCTACAGATCAAACAAAAGATCGGCTATCAGCATAAATCATCAAGTTCCATGACGTAAAAAGATGAAACTATAAACAAACCTTTTTGAGACAAGCATATGTCGCAGAAATTATGTTTTAAAACATCTTCTATGAAAGCATAGGACCAATGTCAGCCACATTAGGTCGAAATACTACTTATATAAAAGAGGATATATGGTAAGAAAATTTATCATTATAACAAAATGTATATAATTTTTTTCATCAATACAAAGGAACCATTATAATAGAGAGGCAAAAGATAACAAAGGGAAATTCACTCGTAAGTCGAAAACAAACTGACAACGTCATGGCAAACAGCGAAAGCCTATCAAAGGACAAACAACAGTATGCAAAACGCAACAAAGAAAACTGAAGACTGAGCAACACGAACCCACCAACAAACTTGGGGTAATCTCTCCGGTTCTTCGGAAAGGTGGGCAGATCCTGTTCCACATGAGACACCCCTCGAGTTTCTCCTATAAAATACGTTAGTTTTATCAAGTGATAAGCCATCACGAAATAACGGATTGGTAATTGTCTCTTACCCTTAGACATCACCAATTCAATAAACCATCCGTAAATTGAATATAATAACCCTGAAACATGACCGACTGTGAACATTTGAATTGGAAACACATTTTTCATGGCAAAGGATAAATAAGACTGCTACTGGTATAAATATAACACAGGCATTTCAAAAATTAAAAGCATAAAGAGCAACAATTAAAACCAAAGCAAGAGCAGCACAAACCAATTTTAAACAAATCTAGGGGGTCTCATATGCTCAAGAAGGGCACGCAGATCCTGCCCCACCTGTCGTGTACAAGACGCATAAGAGTAATTAACCTTTACATATGATTTATATATTAACAAATGTTTGTGTTTCTAAAAAATCTATATTAGATATATAGAAACTGATCAGCAATATACAATCTACATCAATGCAGATATATATGGTTTATAGCCCTCAATTTTTGACTAATTGTCGTGTTTTTGCATTTGATTTGGGTAGGTATAAACTGTGAAAAGCAGAAATAATAAGAAAGGCAAAATTAACAAAAATGCCAACATGACCATAATCACTGAAATACTTCTTCTATGTGTTCTTGCATTCAATTGCCAATTTGTTAACATAATGTCGCTTTTTGATTGGATAACTACTATAGTATGATAGATAGACAGACACAGCAAAAATACAATATCCTGAATATTCGTAAATCAAGTTTTGAAAAACACATAATTGATTGCACTTAATATAGCCAGATATGATATATATAATTGATTGCACTTAATATAGCCAGATATAATTTATAGAAAAACTGTTTATTTCAAAATAAGTTTTGATTCTTAAACACAATACTTTGTTTGTAATAAACAATAAACAAAATATATCGAATTGCCATATTTTGGCAGGCGGACGAAATAGACTGTAAGGAACCTTCAGATTTATAGTAATAAATAGAATAACAAATGATTCATACAAGAACACTGTTTATATCACTTGTACAGAGCAAAACAGTGTTCCATATACGAAGCATCATATCTAAAGCCTGCCTTCTAACTAGATTTGACTGCATATTCATACAGCCCGACCATCCATACGGACGCCCATCTTAATTTTACTGTCGAATATTAGAAATCAAGGGACCATATGTTTATACTCATGTTAATCAAGGGAGTACCTAAACACTATAATACTGGTATGATAGAAAGAGCTAGTCAGCGGCAGCAAGCAAAATGTATATTTGAATTCTTATACATTCTAATTTTGATATGGCTGTACTTTGGAATATGTTTTAAACATCAATATAAAAAAATGTAACAAGATGTTATGGTAAGCTATGCCCAGTGCAATCAAATGTAAAGGCAGATTAATGTTGTCCCCTAACTGTACCAGATTTGAATCTTTCAACATTGCAAATAAAAACACGCGAAATATGATAGGTCTGATAAGAAGCAAATTATACTCGACTATTAAGCAACTTGCAGTGTCTATGTCCTCATTTAAACCTTATCTTACCGTATCACTTTATTGTGTCAGGTTAAGCGATTCAAGTTTGTTTTAATCACACGATGTCGCAATTTGATTGGCAGATGTTCCGAATTCGAACCTGTTCTCTTTATCTTCGTAAGCAGATATACTTTATCTTCTACAAACAAATGTGAGACGAACCGGAGACTTAGAAAGGTAAGAATATTAAGAGAAACGAAAAAAAACAAATGCTTTTAAAAAATTTATAAAGTTATACGAATAAAAAAACATATTCATTTATACTAGCTGGATGTTTGTGTAAAATCTCGTCCCATGATCATCACAAGAACTGCTTGTGTATAGTACAAGTGGGTTGGAAAATGTACGAAGTAGAGATACCTTATTTTTTTTTTTTCCATAGTTTTTTTTGTGCACCCATTATTGAATGCTAAGCAATTTATTTCGATAATAAAGTGCTCACAATGTGTTGAAAAATGTGTTCCATATTTGACACGCATACAAAATTTTATCTACTTCTAAATTCCGGATTTGGGCTTTAAAGTGCAGGATTTTAGGGAACAGTAATTTATCGATCTTTAAATCTTACCAATCGATTAGGAAACAAACAAACAACGAAAATTGTGGATGCGATCAAACTATTTGTATAAATCATAGATATGAATACAATTTTAATAGATAGTTTATGCTTATTTAAATATGTTAATGATGTCGTTCAAAAACATGTAAAAATGAATATTTCTAAATTTTGAGTAAATTTCGGTAAGCAAGATGAACATTTTTATCGGACATACCTATACCTTGATGATTAGTAGGTTGAAAAAGTAAAAACAATATAACCTGACAAAGAAAACGTTATTGCCAAAACTTTTTCAGTTCGAATAAATTTCTTAATGTCTAAATAACTATTTTCTAATATTGTAGGCATTAATTTGAGGGTACTTTCATCAACATGGCTGCATCGAAGCAATGCGATTCTGGTAAAGAAAACGATTTATTTAATTTGACATTATGACATGATCTAGAAAGGGAAATTTCTATCAATTTAAACGAGTTTATACGTGAAACTCACGTGAACTGATTTGACGTGAGTTTTAGGTGAATCTCAGATGTGAAATTTGTTTGAATTTCTAATGAAAAGCACATGAACTGTTTTCACGTGGCAAACACATGAATTTAAAAAAAAACAAACAAATTATTTATATAACATCTAAATTTTCAAATGAAAATTAAATCATGAAGACTACAATTTTTTTTGGGGGGGGGGGGGGTGTTAAAGTTGAAATGGAAAAAATTGCACGTGCCTTTCATGTATGAGGTTATTCGAGGTGAGTTTCATCTGAATTTCATATGACATTCACGTGAGAAAAATTTGCCTGTCTAAGTAATGAAATAAAAAAAACTTTCTAAATATTGTCATAAAAACAAAAAAGAAAATAAGCAAAAGACAAGCTGCATTTTAGAGATAAAAGTATTCTAAATAAACAAGTATTGCATCTGCTACAGAACACAGTATTTTGATTGTATTAAAATCAATTGATCTGTTTCTTCTATTGATTATGTTGAATATCATCATATTAAAATGCAAAAAAAAAAATATATACAAAAATAACGATTTCATGGAAAGTTCATAACAGAAAGTCATTTATCAAATACAATAATCAAAAGCGCAAAAGTGAACAATCATGATAAATGCATGCCCTTTTACTGGTTAGTAATGCAAATGCTAGAAAACATTCATACAATCAATATGTCTTATAAAGTGCAGTAACACATGCATTTCATTTCATGGACCATCATTGTACCATTTTGTAGAAACATAATAATTTTTAGGTTTTAAACAGTAGTACTTTACAAAGGACAAGTAAACCATTAATAAAAGAAAGGCTTTAAAATTTGATAAAAACATGGACAAAACATGCAGATTGTGCCTTTGCCTCGTATACCATACAATTCGACGAAAACAAAGATTTACACGTTAATAATAAAACAAAAAAAACATTTTGTGAAAATCTAATCGGAGAAAACAGCTTTTCATTTAGAAATAACAGTAAAGAATAAAAAATAAGTACATCAGCCAGAGATGTTTATTCTAAACTAAGGAATCTTGTAAAACAGGCAAAAAGATTAGACCGTTGGTTTTCCCGTTTGAATGGTTTTACACCAGTCATTTTTGGGGCCCTATATATATCTTGCTGTTTGGTGTGAGCCAAGGCTCATTGCTGAGACCGTACTTTGATCTATAACGGTTTACTTTTACAAGTTGTGACTTGAATGGAGAGATGTCTCATTGCCACTCATACCACATCTTCTAATATCGATATCTTTAAAAAAAAAAAAAAGGGTAAACGTATAAATAATAGGTGAAGACTTCACTAATCGAGTATTGAATTGGGAGAGAAGTATACACGAGGGTAAAACAAACTACACAATGTCAAATGACAAATAATGATGTATTCAATTATAGGGATTATATTTAATATACCACACAATATAATTGTTTACGAATTCGAGTTGTGATGTTTGCTGTACAATTGCAGATACAAAAGAGTTAAAAGAAAACTATACAGATCCACGGATTCCAACAAAGTAAATGATTTTTTTTTAATTTTAAGATCAATAATAAATAAAGGTTATTAGTTTTTAGTTCTCTTAAGATGCACTAATGCCATTTGAAATTGTTTTCCAGAAACAACAAATTTCATATTATATTTAAGTTTTTGCGAATGCAAAATAAAAGAATATATTCAATTAAAATATCAAACCAATACCCCCTTCATTAATCGTTCAGAGTTATTAGAATAACCACTATAATTGAAGTTAAAATAAATAATTGTTGTATGTATCTTTCCTCTCGACAGTCAGCAACAAATTGATAACCTATATGTTAGGTGTTCGACCAAAAAATCGTCTCCAGATGAACAAATTGAAAAATTGAGAGTAATGTTTGAATCAGTGGAAGAAATGCTTGAATCTCCAGACTATGATAAAGATTTACAAGATGAATTATCGATAGCCTGTCCAAACTACATGACTGTTTTCCAATCAGCAAAACGTGATTTACTGAGAAATGATTGTGGAATCGTCGTTGCAGGTTTGTTAGCAACACGTTTGGTTTTCTGCAAACAATAAACAATACATGTACTTGTACTGAGGTTTCTGATCTCCCTTATTATACAGGTAACTCCTCTAACCATGGTGCCAAATTAAGCCTCTATTATTTTTCTTTTGTTGGCAATGTTACATCCAAAGTCTGCCAGTACAAATTTGCATAAAAATTTTACTGAACGTCAACGTCGGTTTGGAACTAATCTTTTACTAAACTACGCATGCTCTTATTTCTAACAAATTAACCGAATAGTTAAAAAATTCATGAGAACTTATTTTATATCACACATATAAAATATGAACTCATGAACCAACAATAAAAAAGAAACCAGAACAGGAGAATCAGTTTTACATCAATGTTTCTAACGAACCATTTATGACATGTTTTATTTTCCTTGAATGTGTTTTGTATGCAGAAACACAATCATATTAATATAGATGAATTGAAATTTAAAACAACCGATTTATTTTGTCTTACAAACCTATATCTGATTTTGACTTATAACTAGTTGAAACCCCTGGAACTGATATTACATGTAAAATTTTGGTCAACACATGTTAATTGATAATTCCATTTTGGGAAGAAAACATTCGACGATCATATCATATAACTTTTATTGGTTTGCATTATTGAAACAATTTATGTATGCATGGAACATAAAGCTTTTCTTATTTTTAGGAGAAACAAGTGCTGGTAAGACAACTCTCATAAATCAACTTATCGGAAAGAAAGTTTTCGTAACAGGCAATTTAGCAACAACTGGCAAAATAACCAGGATAAGGGATTCAGAAACAATAAAAATAAAATGTTTTACAAAAGAAGAAACTCTGAAGGAAGAGAAAGAAGTGGACGATATAAAGAAACTAAGATCTATCATCGAAAAACTAACTGAGATTCAAATAGCATCACAGGACGGACAGGACAAATACTTTGTGGATGTGTACTTACCAGTGCCTATTTTGAAGGTAAAATGTTATAAGCAAAATGATTGGAATTCTGTCAGGGTTATCCCACTAACATAGTTTTTGTCATCATGATGATTTGAAATATTTTACGAACCAAAAAAAAAAATCAATTATGAATTCATCACATTTTCTACAGAACTATCTCCATTGATAAAAAAACTGGTTCTACTCATTTGCGAAAGTCATTATACAATATCGCACTGATGTACAATTTATTCATTTAAAAACAAATCATGCAAATCATATCAATAGTACCAATTGTGCTAATATGGCTTGCAAAATGGAGTTTAAATGACTAGTTTGTAAAAATAGCCCCATAGATTATTTATTATTCAAATTATGTCATATTCACTTTGATTTAATATGGAGAAAAATCAGCAGTGTTTTTTCCTCAATTATAATTACACCACTTTTTTCATATTATTTTTAAGTAGACTAATATACTTTAAAAAGCAACTGATGAAGACAAAGAACTGTGTACTATAAAAACCATAAATCACACTTTTTACATGCATACATGCATGTAACCATTTTAACCTTTCTTTGGTTGTCCGTATATGAAAATTAAGAAATTAAGAATAACAATAAGGTTTAACATCCCAACCCCCAGACTAGCCAAAATTTACCTTAAATGGATTTAGCTATTACTTTCTGGTATTGTGGTCATATAGCTATTCAACTGTTTTGGTTCTTATACGCCATTTATACAGTGTTGTTTCATTTCTATTTATAGCATTTAGAATATATCGAGGAATCAAATGTTAACAGGAAAATTTCTCCTCATTAGTTTTGCTTTTGCATTGTTTAGATAATCTTCATTAATATTATCATAGTATATGTTCTTCCAAACATATTCACCTTCTTTCAAAATCGACATGCAACAGATTATAGTAAATTTGTAATGAGTGTATTCAAGTCAATCGGAAACAGGTAAAGCGAAAAAACCATTTACTGATTAAAATCAACCAGGTATCTTTGCATTAAATACGGATTGAATTTCCTATTGATAATAACTTTGCCGGAAATGTAAAGTAAGTTATCAAGTGTTAACCACAGCATACATCATTAAATAGTCATAGTTATCAAGTGTGAACTAACGCATTTTTATAACAAAGTTTAGACCGTTTGAATTCTATATAGTATAAAAAGTCCTAAAAATTATTTCTTTTTCCATGATGCATGTTTAAATGTGATACATATGAATTCTGGCGGTCAATTTCATAAAAAAGTAACCCATTAGGTCTCAATGTTAACATTAATCTGTGAGGTAGTAAATGGGGTAAGTATACATATTATAACAGCCTTCCAATCAAAATAAAAACAGCATACATCAATAAATGGTCATATTTTGTATATATCATTTATTACTAACATCAATGGTATGTTTGACTGTTTTTCTATTAGTTAATAGCATACCTCTGCATGCTACAGGAACTTATTTACATATACACAGTTCAGTATAAACATTTGAAAAATATCACCAGATTTCAAATGAAGTCGATGTAACATTTAAAGGCAACCATACGGCCTTCAACAATAGGAACACCTCATTCCGAGACAATACGATAGATGTAGTATGTTTGGCTATAAAAGAACCTGATCGTGAGAATTTTAACACATAAATGAGTTCAAATTAAATCGACGCGTGATTGTAAAATAGTTTTGAACTTTGAACAAATTTCATTTGAAGTCTAACCGGAATTACAAAACAGCAAAATGCATATGTATTTTACATTTTTAGGGAAATGTCATAATAGTAGATACACCTGGAATAGGAGAGAATGACAATCTGGACAACATTTTACTTGAATTTTTGCCGCATGCTGTCTCATTTGTGTTTGTAGTAAATGCAAAAGATACAGGTGGAATCCACGAAGATAGGGTAAGAATTTCAAATGTATCCATTGTATTATACTATAAAAATTGAAAATGAAAATTATTAGATTAGGTGCGTCCGATAAATTTTCTGGATTAATTCAATCAGGAAAGATCAAATCGAAAACACGAATGCAAAGAATGTGTTAATACTTGGAGGTTTAATGGGCAAAATGACTCAAAACGGCACACAGAGGATAACCGAATCCTTCGTTTTTCTAGGAAAGTGTACTCGTGTTTCGTCAGTCATTCTTTTCCTCTGTCCCATGTTAATTCTGTCACACTATTGTCAGGCATGTTTTTTATTGATTCTATACATCTAGTAGTCATGTTTTTTCATTCGATTAATACGAAATTAATGTTATTTATATGAAAGCAAATGAAGCTTAATATTTTAGATAAAATTCGCTGTGCAGTATTAATTGAGAAAAATACGACGCAAATAGTATGCATGGCCATTATATTTATGAAACTTAATCTATTCGGTAAACATAAAGTTGATTGAACGTAAATACATCACAAATTTATAATGGGGAACAAGTAGGGAGCAAGAACTAACCATCAATTTGTTTTATTTAATTTATTTGTTTTTCTACGCACTTATAGTCTAACATATTTGAATTCAAAATACCTTATACGTTTAAAATTGTCCTTTTTAGCCTTATACAATTATATTTTATCTTCAATTTAAATGAGCAGATTATAAACACTGGAATAGTTCACAAGATCATAAAGCTTGATTAGCATGTCGAAATGTATTATTGTATTGTTTATTTGTGTATTTCTCTGTCCTGAATGTTCTTGCATTTATTTGTACTGTGGTCCTGTCATGTAATGTTGCCCTTTTAGTGTTATATTTAACATTGCCATTAAAGCGCGAGGTTTGGCTAGCCACAAAACCAGGTTCAACCCACCATTTTTTCTTAAAATGTCCTGTACCAAGTCAGGAAAATGGTAGTTTTTATCTTATAGTTCCTTTTTGTGTCGTTTGATTTTTTGTTGCACTTAAGTGTTTCTGTTGTTTGGTTGTTTTCCTCTTATAGTTGACGTGTTTCACTCGGTTTTAGTTTGTAACCCGGATTTGTTTTCTCTCAATCGATTTTTGACATTCGAACAGCGGTATACTACTGTTGCCTGTATTTAGCAAATGAAACTACTTATATTGAATACATGAAATATAACCAATACGCATGCTATTTACTATTTTCTTTCAGCTCTTAAAAATTTTGAAAACCATTATGGAGAATCGAGAAGAAATGCCTTGTTTTGATCCACGAGAGGTCATGATTCTTACAAATCAGTGGGATTGTATCCAAAATGACGATTCATCATCAGACGAAGACGAGGATGGCAAAAGCAAAAAAAAGGATCAACATGCACAGACATGGAAGCTTATTCAAAGAAAATTTGAAAATGCCTGGTGTTCGTTTGATGTTGAGAAAGTATTTCGTGTAAGCTTAACGCAGGCAAGTACTTTTTTGTTCAGTCAATGTGCAATTGCTCTAGGTACGATCATCTGCTGTCACAAGACCTAGTTTTTTTTCTTCTTCACTGGACTGTTGGTCAGTAGGTAAATGTGGACAGCGAGCAAACATCTATGCTATCTATAAAAAATATCATTTTCTATTAAAATATAGAGATTGAATTTTATTCAGGTTTGTGTCTTCAATAACATATCATTTTCTCTAAATAACAAATGAAACAGATTGTTGTCTGATGTTTGCTAATGCAAAATTGTTGCTGTAGTTGTTGAGAGCTGACGTGTGTTTAGAGAGCCATACATATATTAAGGCTGTATAGTGTGAACGTATTAATTGGCAATCCACAAAACACGACAAATATGCTACCGATAAAAAAAGATCAGCATTTTGATGATGGTTTATGTAATATACAGGAAACATAAAACAGATTAAAAAGAAACACACACACAAACTCACCGAAAACATTTTATTGAACCAGGATCGCACATCTTCACCTATACCTTTATAGAATAAATTATTTTATAATAAGAAGCTTAATAAAATGAGTATGAGTGTGCAATTTGAGAAAGTTTTCAATGTCATATTCTACGTTATGTAAATTTATCTCTGATTTACTTTTTGAGGTTCGGAAAGGGATCAATAACTGTTTTACTGCTGAATATAAGAGATTCGAAACCGTTTTAACGGAAACTATTGAAAAGAATGACAATAAAAGAGTGGAATTCTATTACAGGTTAGTTTGTATCTCGTTTTGTATTTTTTAAATGACAAAACTGTGTTAATTCTCATGTTCTCTATAACATGTATAATGTTATTAAAACAAAGTACAGAAATACGTAAAAAAGACTGTCATACAAGTAAGAGGTTGAATTAACTTTAAAACAAGGTTTAATCTACCATTTTCAATATACGAAAATGCCTATTCCAGGTCAGGACTATGCCAGTTGCTTTCCATTCGTTTGATGTGTTTGAGCTTTTGATTTTGCCATTTGATTAGGGATTTTCCTATTTTGAATTTTCCTCGGAGTTCAGTATTTATGTGATTTTACTTTTTAGACGTTTGTATTTGAATATGTGTATGACAATTGCCTTGTTGAATAAATGTCAAATATCAGACAGAAGAAAAGGTAAAATGATCTATTATCATAACTTTTTATAGATTTTTGAAAGATTTCATACGAAATGCAGAGAGAGGTACACTTACACGACTGAAAATGTTAAAGAGGACAGAAGAAGAACAACAAGGCTTCATAAATCAAAACATTTCAAAGATTCATGACTTGCAAACCAAATGCCAGGAGGTAAATCTATAACAAAATAGGAAAAAAGTTCGGAAAAATTTCAATCTAACAAAAAAGAAAATGTGCACGTTAACATGTTTCAAACCACTTATTTATCTCTCCACTGCTTTCGGTGTAAGATTCAACAATTTTACATGTTCATTGCCATTCTGTCTTAAGTTTGAATAAAGTGAAAATTATGTCATATTAAATCATTACCTACGCCCGACTTATAATGAAAAAGTCAACATACCTATAATTGCACATACGAGAGAATTTGTTCCCGGAAGTCCAAATACAGGTACTTCTGATCTCAGACATAGGTAAACTAAGGTAATCTAGTTCAATTTCATATGACCTTTTTTACTATTCAAAATAAACTTTCAACAAAGATTTTACAGTGAATTAAGTCTTTAAGATTTCACTTTGTAATCCACCATTTTCTACCTGAGGAAATGACTGTACCATTCGTTTGAGCTTTTGATTTTCCCATTTGATAAAAGGACTTTCCGTTTTGAGTTTTCCTCGGTTAATTTTTGCTATTTTAACTTTTTTTCGTACCATGATTATCCAAATATTTTACAAACAGTGTGTATTCTAATAGTAACACAACTAGGCATTTTGACCATTTTGTGAGAGATATGTATTAAATTATTATATGTTCTTTCTGGAAGGTGCGATGGGGACGTTGAAGTGCGATGGTCTCGCTGAAGTGCGATGGTCTAAACAAGTTATTAGTTACAGTTTCATACTAAATGAGAAATCGTTCTCTTTATATTTGATACACGAGGACATTATTCTGCGTTATCTTTAGTTTGTTCCTCTCGTCTAAGATTACTATATGTATTAAAGTAATATCAGCTCTCATGAGTTTTACGTTTACCGTTATATCACAGAGAATATATCTGTAGACCGATATGTAGTTAAAGAATTCCAATCTCCATCGTACATAAAAAGCAAAACGTTTTTAGATTTCGAAAAAGGATCTCATATGAATAACCCTTTTATTCTAATTATTTCCCTTTTTTATTCCTATTGAATATGCATAACATTTCACGTTTTCTTCAAGTGCAGCAAAACCTACCGACGGTGTTTAAAAATGCATAAGGCCCTTATCATATTTAATTTTAAACAGCTTTCACATTTTCAGTCATTGAAATGGCACTGATTTTAATGAAAAATAACCTTTGTATGTAACGTCTTGAACTATTGTATGAACGTTGGCTAATTTTTGTTTAAAGCGAAGTACAAGTTTACAGTTATGACTGGAAATATTCATTATGACTGTTTTAATCTCGGGTTAGTTTTATCGATGATTTACTTAATAAACACGAAAAGCTGCTTCTAACAAACAAATTGACTTATTCATCTCATGAAATACATAAAACATAAAGTTTAGGTAATCCAGGTAATCTTAGGCTTCGAATAAAGACGATTTTATCTGTTCCCTAGAATACCACTATATATTTAGCCTCCTCACGGATTACTTTTTAAAGTTGTTTTTCGCTCATCTGATTAAAGCTTTTCAAAGGAGCATGTGTCAACTAAAATATTTTGACTTTTTTATTCGAAGTGCGCAAAAGGTTTTGCGACTACACAAATTGCTATTAATTTTCATATTCCTTAACTTTTGTAGTCAAGCAAAGAATTGGAAGAGTACAAAAAGACAATAATTACAGAGCTAACAGAGAAGCTGCATTTATACCTTCATTCGCCAGAGGGACGAGAGCACATCCTTAATCCTCCTGATACGAAAGGAATATGTGAAGTCTCATACATAAGTCTAAGTGGAGAAGTTCCAGCCAGACTTAAAAGTGGAATACAGCGATGGTGCAAAGGACAGGAAGTAAAACAAATCATTGATGATGCAGACACAAAAATTAGAACACATGTCGAAGATATATTATCAAAACTGCAGGAAATAGAGTTAGTTATGACCGGGCCAGATCCAAGCGTACAATACAGTCCTAACAGTAGTATTATTTTTTTGGGGCTTCTGCTTTTACCTTTAGCAATAGTCATTTCGGTTGCATTTGCTTTGATATCTGTTCCCTTATTTTGGGGCGGCTATTTGATTTTTGGTTCGGATCTTTATCGTAAAACCGCAGATATGATCTATGATAGCTGCCTGTCACAGATATCAACGTCTGTCTTAGAGGAAAGTTTCGAAAAATCAGTTGGTGCAGAATATAGTAAGGTGATAATAAGTATTTTTGATAAATCTTTGCCTAATGTATTAAACAGCCTGATTGCTACCAACGAAAGGCTTCTTGACACACACAAGGACATAAAGCAGAAACAAGAATCATTTGTGCGATTGGGGGATAAAATCTCAAAAATCCAGGAAGCAACTAAAGATTTTGAAAAAAACAATTAGATTTGCGTGTTATTTACGATGCACACAAACATGAGCAGTTTTTGAGGTGGGATTTATCTTATAGAATACTTTTAATTGTCAAGTTTGCTTATCATCATGTTTTTTGTGAGAAAGACGCACTGAATGTTTTCTCTCGACAAACTCATGTTGCATGAAGGAAAACTTATACACATTTTTTTATTACATAAGAAGGCAGTTAATAGCCAAAATAACTAAGGGTAAAACGGTATATTCAAATTGATTTTGGGGAATTTAAGTTGTGTCAGCTGATTTCTTGTAAATAGCTCAGGTCATTTTCTCTGAAGCTGTAAGATTCTTAAAAAAAGGTGCATTTTACTTTTTCTGTAACATATCACAAGGTATATTTGTTTTAAATTGATTTCATATATGGTATAACAACCTATTGATCTCAAGTTTACCTTTTTACTGGTCACAGATTTTTACAGTATGTACAAGTTGTGCATTTTACATTGTATAAATATTTATAAATCATGTAGAAGGAATAGAGTTTTTGTAATAGTAATAAAATTACGATTTTGTTTTGCCTTGAACTAAACAATGCCTGCTTACACTTTACATCATTTTACTGTACTGAAGTTTTATTTTTAATCAGCGGCAAAATTTCTTTTGATTTGCTTACATACTCTAAAACTATACTTTATTACAGTAAAGGTATATCGAGTTTTTTGTTTTGTTTTCTTGACTTATAATATCGATTGTCTATAGTTCAGTACTCTTATGATTACTACTTTTTTTGTTTACGTTCGTCAATGTTCTTTTTTTGATACCGGCTAGATGGTCTCGCGGTAGAGTGTTTGTCTTAAAGAAAACTCGAAATTTGGTATTTGCTACTTCTCCACTAAGCATGCAGCATAAGGGAGTTACAAAAAAAACTAGTTACCTTGGAGTCAGAATAATGTATCAGGGTAGGGTGACATTTTTTTCCTGCAGACTGGAACCTTGTTGAAGGCCGTACGGTAAACTATAGTTGTTAATTTCGTTGTCATTTGGTCTCTTGTGAAGAGTTGTCTCATTGGAAATCATACCACATCTTCTTTTTCTTATAGCACATTAAAAATATGGCTCAGCGTGTCGGTATTAAACAGAGTCATTATTAATTTACGTTAACATGTCTCTGTCATGAGTATGCATTAATTTGCCACTGGACGTGAAACAGCCGTTAGCATCATCATTGTGTAATATAGTCATTTTAATTATTGTAATGTAAAATGTATAGATCTAGCAGAAATCAAGAAGAAGCTATGTCAATGACACAAAATGTGGAGGGGATAAACTATTTTGAAGGAGCGTCAACCCTTCCCTGGGAGTCCTAGGGGTTCAAATTAGCGGTGGTCCGAGGTCCGCGACCTTCCATTTTTGCAGTCGGACTCTCGTTTTGGTTACAAGCTACGCCCGACGGACCTTCTGTTTGAAAGAAAATAAAAATTAACTTTGCCGACCTTTTTAAACAAAAATTTCCAAACAATCTCAAAATGTATTTTCATCATTATTATTCATGACAGCGATGTTCATTTTGTTCAACCGCTAGCTTTATACCGAAAATTGCCAACTAGTAATGTGTAAATCCGAGTAAAATCGTATCTGACTGACAAAACAACATTGAAAAACATTGGATGCCATAAACCGGAAATGAAGAAAATAACAAAAAACGGATCCGATCCACAGCGGATAAGGGTAATTCCGGGTTTGCCGATCAAATACAATGAAAAAATAATAATTCCAGGCAGTTGACAAAATACATCTATGATGATAAAATATAAACACTAGAATTGAAAACCAAAAGATATATTGAAAAGAAAGAAAAAGTAGGAAATATTTTTTTACAGAAACTCAAAATTACTTTTAGATAATAAATTTTCATCTCAAAATCCAAAAAAATGTGACGGTAATTTTCTTTATCATTAATAAATATTGATATTGCATGTAGATTTTTGTATAGTGTAAAAGTATTACTACAATTCCAAGAGGTAATGTCTTCCCAATTTTAAAGGACCAGTACAAATTTGGAAGTTTCTTGTCTTATTTTCACAGAGGAACTAATGCATTATAATAGTGCAACTAGATATGATACACTTAAACCAGAGACATATATTCACATGTATATACGTCTCTGCTTAAACAGCTTTGAATTTGAATTGTTTTATAAAATGGTATAAGTAGTAATAAATTACCAATAGTTGAGACAACACACCCACCCATGGTGACACCCTCCTCAATAACAAAAAAAAAAAAGATTATCTGAATTATAATATACAAGACAATTACAATTGTTATTAAATATTTTATACAACAGTGACTTTGACAATGAAACAAGTTGACCTAACACCAACAGCACATTAATTTTGTTACTTGTATCTTACTATGTTAGGAAATATTTCAAGTAAAAGGAGGACCTGGAATTTAGGTTGTGGACCTTTCAGTTTGGAGTGTCAAAGGTCCTGGACCTTCCAGTACCTAATGTTAATTTGAACCCCTGCTGGGATAGTGGTGTAACGCAGAAATACATCTAACAATAACACACAGTGGACTAGGCAGGGTTCTTGTACATTCCCACAACAAAATTGTAAAGATCTGAGAGTACTTGCAGTTATTGACAGCTAGTTTAACCAATAACAACTTACAAAAAAGATTCATGCAACTAAGACTCATTGAATGCCAACAATCACACATTCTGATTTCATATTTCCAAATTTGTTCTTTGAACCTTGAAATCGGGTAAATATCTTAATTTGGTATATATATTTAAGACCAGTTCACATAATAAGAAGCATGTAGAATATGCAGCATTCTCATTTGGCCACAACTTGATGTTAAGCTACCAAAACCAAAATCTCAAACCTTATACAGAACAGACGACAGGCAGGACAGGCAAACAAAAAACATAACACCCCGCTATTGTTGGCGGGGCATAAATAAATAACTGGTTAAATCTAACTGTAATTTTGAAGTTGCTTTTACGTTGACATATACCGACATCTTATTTAATTTGCCAAATGAAAATACCTTGGTGGACCTTTGTATAAAATACAACTGAAGAAGGGTATAGTATACTTATGCTATTTGAAACAAATATTACAATAATGATTTAAACTATATTAATACAAAATCCACACACACACAACAGAAAAAGAAGTAAGAAAAAAAATGTTTGTGAGTACATACTCTAAGCCGCTTTATATGAAAAGGGGAACGCTTAACAGTATGAAACTGTCAAAAAATACTCTTGTTAGCGTTGACATCTGAAATGGGTAGTTTCGAACTTCTTAAAAAACATAAACATTGAGTATTAAAAAATCACCATGGGAATCATCATTTAAAAAGAGTCATAATTACTTTCGTCAAATTACAAATATGTGGTTGTTTGACCATGTATTTTCTTTTAACAAATCCTCAGTATAAAAGCTTTAACAAAAGGAAAACAAAATCGTGTAACTTTGATTTATTCTGACTCCGCTGATGTCACGATCGCGATCAGAGCATATAACTTTGGAGTGCATTGCACTGGGATCAGCAAAAATAAGACAGCCAACAAGTAGTAAAAAGGAAATAAATGATGGTCAAACAAAAGTTTTTTTTTGCAAATCAAAAGGACAAGATACCAAAAAAAAAAGTCACCCAGATTGAGTAAAACAGTTAGCTCGACACAAATGTTTTGATTATTAATATGTTGCAATCATTCTTGATTAAGTATAGACAGTTAGAAAGAGTACATAATTTCTAAATGCGTATGTAACCGCGATTAACAAAATTGTTCTGGTTTTTTTTTTCATAAACTCATCGTAGAATGATAATAGGACTAATAATGAGTTTCCAAGACGCGCGTTTTGACTACAAAAAGTCGGATGTTTTCCGCTCTTTGATCATGTTGCTGTCTCTTTGAAACATTCCCCATTTCCATTTTTAATTTTATCAGTGACGCTCGAATGAAAAAGTTAAAAAGGCAAAATAATTAACAAAGTTTAAGAGCACCGAGGACCCAGAATTCGGATGATAATTTTTTATTAGAGAAATATTAACCAAACATCCATTTACAGGTATATTTGATGAGAAAAAATATTAAACAATTATATTTGTTTTATATCAATTTATCTTTTGGTCTCACTCAGTCAATGTCCTTGAAGTTATTTATTCTTTATCTGTTTATTGTGTCAGTTTGGGTTATCAGTATATTTTAATCATACGATGTCCCAATACGATGTTATAAAGATACTGAGAAGTCGAGGTGTTTTTCTAAGCTGTCTTATGAAGGTAGGAAAGTAAATAACAATTTTTAGTAATAAACTTTAATGAGTTGAATTTATCAAATATCAATGTGTATACTTTTTGAAAGTCTCAATCATGT